TTACATATGTTGTTTCCATTTGTTTCCTTACTGTGTCTATTGCATTGTTCTTGTCATATCTAAGCTTTATCATATCTGAATTTTCCCAACATTGAATCTGTGATGTAAAAATAAATTATATATTAAATGACAGAATATTTGAAAAAATAGCAAAATTAGGAGATTTTGTGTGGTGACCTTAAGATATTTAAAGTGAATTATTTTCTCTGTGTATTTGCTACTTGTGTGAATGAGGTTTGATCAAAACATACAGTGAATGTTTAAAATCTTTTAAAATGTATTAAAAATAAATTATATATTAAATGATTAGCACTGTGAAAAAATAGCAAAATTAGGAGATTTTGTGTGGTGACCTTAAGATATTTAAAAGTTGATATTTAAAGGTGCAGAAATCAATCATGCAGAGATATGGAGAAAAACATTTTAAGAAGGGAATTACAGGTGCAAATGCCTATCATTCAGATACCTAGGAAGTTAAATCTGAGTTTTTTATTTACTGTTGTTGGATCTCAGTGTATTTGCTGGATGACAATAAGTGAAAGGTATGGGTTTAGGGAGGAGGGAAAACTATGCTGGCCATATTTAATAATGTTAGATAGGATAAAAATACAGATTGAGTTTATAACCTAAGCTGCTGATGTACCTAGTTTGTATAACCTGATATAGTAGTTGTATCAATTTGTCTTTGGATTTACAACGTTTGAGTGGTTTGAGACAAGGATCTTTGCTGTGGCTTTTGTTTTCTCAATTTCCTGGCCAATTTCACTTAAGATTGTCAATCCCGTTTTCCTCTTATCCCTCAGTTGAAGTTATCTTAATAATGGTTGGGATTTGTTCAGTGGAATGCTGTAAGAAAAGCTTATTTTCTTTCTGGAACTAAAATCCATGATGATATTTTAAGCACACAATCTTTATTGATTATAGCATAAGAGAAGAGAGATTTTTATAGTTTGGTGGAGGCAGTTACCGGCCCAGGTATTTTTCTTTTCTTTTTTCCTTTTTTTGTTTTGTTTTGTGTATTTGTTTTTTTGAGGCAGGGTCTGCCTTTAGTTCAGGCTGGCTTTGAACTCCCTCTGTAGAGTCCAGGATGGTGTCGTTAAAATCCTCCTGTCAGCCTCCCTAGTACTGGGATTACAAGCATAGGTTCCCATGCCTGGTTTAT